TTCTTGCCCTCTGCTGTGGTAGCAACTTAATTTTCTGGAAATAACATTAATCACCCAATACCTGGACTGTCCAGTGTGTTCAAGAGTGGCCAATTTGTAAAGGGGTAGTGAAAGTTTCTCAGCAAGCATTTGAGGGAGATTATAAATTTGCTGTACTCTAATATCGGAAACAAGTGCAAAAAGACAGTGCACTAAAACAATAACCATATGATACCATGTTAACAGTCCTTTAGATGAGCTTCATTAACACACAGTTATATAACCTATAATATATAAACCCCAAAACAAATATATGAATCCAAATATGAAAATAAACACCTTAGCTGTTATTCTGAATATCCACAATTCTACACAATTACAGCCAGTGGTCAAAACTTAGCAATGTATTTGATCAACTTGGGTAACAACTGACCTGGTTTTCCTTGAGCACTGACACCTGCTTTTGTAGAGATATGTTCTCTTCTTCTAGCTCACCATTGTCCTGCAATTGGCGCAGCTCACGCACTTTATATTCCTTCATTTCATCCCTCAGATGGCCCTTCTCTGCCTCCAGACACTCACACTCCTGTGGAACACAACCCACTGTCAGTGCAAGACACAAATGGTCAATTTCATGTTATGTACAGTGAACTTTGGTTTGGGAATGATGTACACAGCAAAAATATCCTCCAGTGATTTAGAGTGCATTCTTATAATTCGTGAGGAGATGGGGCTTGATAGTATATGCTGTAACACAGGTGTACAGGTGTACTGAGTACACCATACCTTCTTTAGTTGGGTGGAGACTACCCCCAGTCTATCGATTTCTGCGTGGGCATTGCCTAGAGCAAGGCGTGCTTGCTTGAGCTCTGCCTGAACTTCCTCCATGCGGGTTGCCATGGCAGCCTCTTTTGTGGCAGTCTCCTGCAGCAGGCTCTCCTCCCTGCACTCTCCATCAGCAGCTGCACGCTTCTGGCTGCTCACAGAATCTGCAAATGCCTTTAGGCAAACAAAAACCGTTAAGGAAAGGGCAAAACCTGCAGTATTTGACAGGCTATAATGTGTTACACGTTGGAACAACATTTACAAGGCTGAAACAGAGCATATCATATCAAGATGGGAATCGTAAACATTTCAAAAAAGGAGAGGCAAAAGGACTTTCCTGATAACCACTATCTGAAACCTGCTTGCAAAGAGGAAACAGCTGACATGGTTCAGTAACCTTAGACCTGAACAGCTACATCATTTCACACTGTGTATTTGTCTTGTCGGTATGGTACAATACGCCTATTGCACTGCACTTATCACTGTAATAACATGCATGTCTTCACAGCTTGCCATAATCAGGACTCTTGACACATTACGCATCAATGGCTACTGATGAAAGAACTATCAAACACGGTGTTAAATGAAATGAACATGCTAGTAAACATGCTCAACTGAACATTGTGGCATGATTATATAATGACGCTAATTTACAACACACGATTTTGTTCTGCTTTGCTAAATCCCAGCCAAAGCCAAGGTCGGTAAATAGCCAAGAAATGAGGTTTATGCAGATTATAAAAAATAACTGAAATTCTGTACCACTACGCCCTTTCGGACATAAAGAGCTTTGCTGGATATGTAGTTAGAAAACCTCCAAGTGGAGCAATTTTGCTGTTATTTTGATGCATTTATTGCTAAATGTCTTAAATTGCGAGTAAGCAGGATTTTAAACATTGCTTCCACTTTTATATAAATAGGTAGATGGAAAAATTGCAAAACCAAAAATCTGCACACATGATGGGATTTAATTTTACAGGATTACTTTCTTACATAAACCTGTTTTAAAAGGCCTGTTCCAGCAAAACTAAATACCTTCAAGGCCCATCTGGTGCATTTGCGACAAATTTTACATCAGGGAACAATATTAACCCCCTGACACATTTCAGCACACTGTCTGAGTATAATAATCTACACTCAGGCAAAGTAAACACAGTTGATGGGGTTGTTTGACAGTTTTACTGCATAGTGGTCAATTGCTAAACAAAGACAGAGAAAGGGAATTGTGAAAAAATACTGGAAAGCTTATTGTTTAACAATAAGGCAATTAGGAGCATATGCCATAATTTCAATACACCTGCAACATGGATTACATGATAATTTGAGCTTTGACATATTGGTCTAATCTTTTTGTCTTCTATCTGGTGCAAACCTCATTCGATGTCAAAGGCTTTGGAGGAAAGTATTCAAAGTATCAGTTTGAGATAGACAGAGAAACTGCAGCATAATAAAAACCACATGCTGACTAACTGGCTGTGGACTATGTTGTCATCACTAAATCGTCTTCTCCCGCTGATGCCTCCAACATCAGATGACATGCGAGGGCAAAGCTGACTCAGCATGCAATCACAAGCCTCTTCATTCAAAGTATAATGTCAGGTCACAACTGCAACAGAACACTTATTGTAGGAGCAAAAACTCAGAGTTATTCAGTAAAATTAAAGGGATGAGCAGTCAAATTGATGTCACACTTTCGTGGAACATATAAAATGAAAACAACAGCAGCTCCACAGATAACAAAATTAAAATGAATAGCATGAGCAAGGAGATTATGCCCTTATATGTCAGCAACTGCAATCTTGACAGCATTTACATTGTGCCAAGCACCTGAAAGCAAGTATTTTAACAGTATCATTTTTGTACAATGCTAATGCAAATGAAACAGTAAAATGACACTGATATCACTATCCCACTATATCATGGCTAGGATATCCTGCAAGTAATGTAACAGTATATGACAGACATTTTCATATATTTGCATATAAATAAACAGACAGCAACCATTATTGAGTTCATCCCTCCAATAGAACAACATTTTCTGTAAAAATTCACTCCACATGCTTGACCGGTTGCCAGAAAAAAACAAATGTACCGTACTGGCAAATCTCAGGTTTCAGCTACTGTTTATTTGATTGTCATTGTGAAACCTAAACACTGGAAATACTTGTTTTATTCATAAATGTGTAATGAAAAACTACAATCTTGAAACAGTTGTGTGTTATCAAAAATTGTACCTGGAGGCTGGGGGAATGGTAACTTCAAAGCCCACATGAAAAATCTATACAGTATGTGTTGTCTTAAATATTACTTGAGGGTACTGGGTGTTCCTACCTCTTTGAGTTGCTGCAGCTCCACTTTGAGGCCTTCATGCTCCTCTTCCAGCTGCCTGTGTTTCATCTTGAGGGCCGAACTTTCCTCCAGCACCACCAGGCCATAGCGGGCTGCCTGTAGCTTTTCCTCCGTGGCCTCTTGGAGCTCCAGAGTCAGCCGCACCACCTCAGCCTTCAAGTCTCTGCCCCCCATCTCTGCTTCCCCTTCTCCCTCGACTGCCGCACCTGCTGGGTCTGCATCCGCCTCCAGCATCCTTGCCCGGCCTCCCACTTGTCTGCCAATGTTCTACTGGGACACCTGCCTCCTTCACGCCTCCACTCTCATTACCCCAAACTACAAGGGCAAAACACAGAAAAGGTGGTTACATAAACTACTTAGAACAATGGCCAAGATGGCAAAGAGGTTTTGCATAAATCATATTGTGACACTAATTGAGTCAACTGCAAAGAATAACTTCGAGATTGCAGTGGGGAAACACTCCTACTTAAGCTCAATTCATAAATTACCTAAATGCTGCAGTTTGCAAATATAACTAGCAAAATAGCTAGCAATGTAAACTCAGGTTATAATATGTTAAATATTATGATGTAAGGCTACAACTACGATAGTCTTTTATAGTAATATTTACTGAGGATTCTTAAAATCTCCACAACACAAACATGTCATTAGAAATGAGAAGCGAGGCTAGAAAGGATTCAACAAAGTCGTATCATCATCATCATCTTTCAGAATATGCAGATAGTTTCTAATCTTAGCAACACACTCCCGACAGCTGGTTGAAGTGGGATTGCCCCCAAATGTTATGCACAAACAAACAGGGGAAACGATATTTATTTACGCTACTTTGATCAACAGTATATTAACTGGGTGGGGCAGATGCTCCCCCATTTCCTCGTGTCCTCTTGTTTGACCGAAGATGGAAACACCAGCCGGCGGTTGTCAGGTGCCAAATGATGAAGCTAGTTAGTCATCCAGAAAGCATCTGCTTCCTCTAGCCGGATAACCATATCATCAACTAAGAGTTTTCAGCTTATTATGTCCCCCGCATTTCCAAAGCCAGTCGATATCTAGAGGATGAAAACTATTCAGACAGGGATACAAAATCGAAGACGACACCGGACTGGAAACAGGACACGGCCGGACAGCTAGCAACAGTAGCTTTAGCCTAACGCTGATGTAGATAGTCAATGAAACCGCAATGCTAACTTAGTAGCAACTAGCAGTTTAACAGAACGCAGCTATCTAGCATCGTGGCTTCGTATGTCCATGCATTTACACAGCCTTAGCTGAAAATACACCATCGCCTGCCAGTCTAGCGGGGCTGTTCTCCCGTTGTAACGTCAGTCGGATCCTGTCAGACAAGCTAATTAGCCGGATAGCCATCATTAGCCAAACTCACCCTGTGGTTTTATCTCAAAGACGGGGCTCGCCGCTTTGAAGCAAACGTAAATTCTGTACCTCCTTCGGGAGCTGTCAGCCTCGGTGGTCGGTAGTCACGATGGTAGGCAGGGATAGCAGCGCAGGTACCGAACAGCCGCGTCCCTTCCTCCCACCCGGTTCTCCCGTTTCACAGCGAGGTCGAGTGTCAAACGCGCGCCGAAAACGCGAAGGCACCATTACCCCCTCTAGCTCAGCAACGGGGCAATGCAACCACACGAGCACCGACTTTATTTTCTGTGATTTCTTACTATGGCCTGTGCTGTCCCTCCAGAGAACATTAAACGATAAATAACTGAATACAACATTTATATTTTATTAATTAATTTAATTATTAGCATTTTTCCGTTTTCAATTCCCGCCCCCCCAAAAAGATTAGTGCGGAAGCACTTCCGTTTTACTTCCGCATGTGCGCATTGGCAGAGTGAGAGTGTCTCAAGTCATTTGTAGTTTTACACAATGAAGGTTGTTACCTGGAATATAAACGGCATCAGGACTTTCAGAAACGGCATAAAAAGGGCTCTTGATTCACTGGATGCAGATATCATCTGTGTTCAGGAGACGAAAGTGACAAGTAAGTGACTAGCAGTGGGAGGTATGAAAACGCGGGAGCTGTCATTGAGCTCCCCGCAGGCAGACGTCTGCTGCGAAAATAACAAAAAACAGAGTTAACCCCCCTGTTTACCCCTCACAGGAGACCTGCTGGATGAAAGGACTGCTATTGTTGACGGCTACAACTCCTATTTCAGCTACAGCAGAGGACGCAGCGGCTACTCAGGTTCATTTAATTGCGTTCCTGATTATGTTTAATGACCCCCAAGCCAAAAGGACACAGTCTTGTTTTACTGAAATTAGTGAACAGAAGATCTCTGTGATTCCACTGCATCTGCTCTATAGCTGCTGCTAACTATACTAACTAATTCTCATCCCTCATGTGCACAGGGGTCGCCACTTACTGTAAGGACAGCTCCACTCCATTTGCTGCTGAGGAGGGTCTCACAGGTCTGCTGACCAACCATGAAGGGGCTGTTGGATGCTACGGTGACCACACAGAGTTTTCAAGCGAGGAGCTGCAGCTTTTGGACAATGAAGGGCGAGCCGTTATCACACAACACAAAGTCATGTGAGGGAAAATTCTATATATAATTATACTTTGAGGTTTTATTGACAAAGCATGTGCTGTGTTGGGTGCTTACCTTTGTGTATTTGTCTTTCTTCGGATAAAATGATTAACTTATTCTGCATCCAGCAAAAGAAAGGCATTCAAGTCTGGCATGTGTGCGCTTCTTTTTGTTCACTGTATATGTCTGCACCTCTTTTTGACTCCTGCAGGTGTCAGGACAAAGAGCAAACTCTTACTGTAATAAATGTGTACTGTCCACGGGCCGACCCCGAAAAGCCGGAGCGAAAGCAGTTCAAACTACAGTTCTACAAGTTGCTTCAGTGTCGGGCTGAAGCCTTACTTAAAGATAAGAGGTGAGAGTTTCCAGACTAAAAAAAGATTGCAGTTACAATGAGGCACAGGTGCATCCTGCTTTTACCACAAACAGAGCAGAATCGTGAAAGCAGCGGTGAAATAAGCAGTGGGCAACATTAATAACGTCTGCATTGGCAAAGACAAGTTACAGTCACATAGATGTAATTACAGGCAAGTAACATTTGCCTAAATGGTGATTAGATCCTATTTTTTGTTGAGTCAGCTTTATTGTCAGTTTTGCCATATGTACAACATACAGAGAACTGAAATTGCGAAACTCCGAGGCCCCACGGTGCAAAATGAACATAGAAAAGAAGTATAAAAATAGAAAAATAGAAAAACTAGAATATAGCTATAAACATGATATAGACAATAAACATGGAATGTAACTCTAACTGTAGACAATAAGGTGCAATCTGCAGTTCTTCCATCTCCTGTTTTCAGATTGAGCAATCTGAGTTAATGTTTTTTTTTCTGCTCTGTTTTCCAGCCATGTGATTGTTTTAGGAGACATAAACACATCTCATCGACAGATAGACCACTGTGACCCCAGTGATGCTGTAAGTAAACTGTTAAAGGAATAGCTCAACATCTTGGGAATGGGTATGTTTGTTTAATATCTTGCAGAAAGTTAGAGTTACATAGATTTTTACCAATTTCATGGCCGTGCAGTAAATATGAGGTTACAGCTGCTAGGTGATAAGCTTCACTTAGCATTAAAATGAGAAACAGGGGGGATGCATGCGGATATGCATGTTTCCCAAAATGTCGAAACTATCGCAGTGCAAAAGAATAAAATAATATTGCATGGTGGATATGTTTCTGCATGCAGATTCCTAATAATGAGATTGTCATTACTTAGGATGATTTTGGTGAAAACCCAGGGAGGAAATGGCTGAATAGCTTCTTGCACAGTGTCAGACAAGAAGAGGACAGCGATGAAGAGGAACCTGATGAAGAACCTGAGGTAACAGATCCCATCAGTAGTGGAAAATTCGTGGATACCTTTCGCTATTTCCACCCATCTCGCACAAACGCCTTCACATGCTGGTCCACTCTGACTGGAGCACGGCAGACCAACTATGGCACACGCATTGACTACATATTTGCCGATTGCCAGCTTGCCAAAGAGCAGTTTGTGGCAGCAGACATCATGCCAGAGGTGGAGGGGTCAGACCACTGCCCTGTGTGGGGGCAACTGAGCTGCTCTCTCCTTCCCAGCTCCAAGCCTCCTCCACTCTGTACTCGCTACTTGCCCGAGTTTGCTGGCAAACAGCAGAAACTCTCACGCTTTCTTGTTAAGGTGGACCAAAAGTGGGCTGAGTCTGAACAGAAACAAAATTTACCTGCCTCTCAAGAAGAGGAGGAAAGGAGGGAGAATTTAAACCCGGTCGGAGCTGGAAACAATGCTAGTAAAAAGCGGTTATTAACATCAGACTCTGTCCTACCAAAGGGGAAAAAAACAAAGACTGCAAATACTTCTTCAAAGCCACAGGGCAACCTCCTTTCCTTTTTCAAACCCAAGCTCACAAATGTCAGGCAATGTGAAAAACCAACTGGGGATGAAGTTCCCTCATCACTCAGCGACCAAAAATCACCCACAACTAGAGAGGAGTCATCGGTCACAGGCACTGTAGCTGCTGATACTGAGCAAGCCTTCGACACAACAGTGGAAACTGACAAACAGGTTAAAACAAAACATTTAACCCCTCAGCGCACTGTGGGCCACTCAGAAGCCAAGAAAGGGGCATCATCAGTGTTTTGGAAGTCTGTGCTCCATGGACCGCCCCCACCACCCAGCTGTAAAGTCCACAGGGAACCTTGTGTGCTTCGTACTGTGAAAAAAGAGGGGCCAAACATGGGCAAACAGTTTTTCGTGTGTGCTCGTCCTCAGGGACACGCCTCCAACCCTGAGGCTCGGTGTAATTTTTTTGCGTGGGTCGACAAGGGGAAGTGACATGTTTACTGTACAGACCACAAGTTCTCTCAGTAAAACCTCTCGTTCAAGCAAGTATTACGGCACCATTGATGTCGTGTTTTTAATGGTTCACTGTTCTTAGCTTTATAATAAAAGATAATAGTTTTGTATTCATTTGAGTTTGATTTTATTTTTTCCTGAAGCTGAAACAGTTAGAAAATAGATTAATTATTCAAAGGGAAAATAAATCTGTTTTGATTAACCAGTTTTGATAATAATTTTTCACAAGAAATGATCAATATCTTCAGAATGCAGCTTCTCAAATGTGAGAGTTTCCAACTTTTGTCTGTTTTTTTTTGTCATGGAAAATAAATTGCCTACAGGTTTTGGATGTTCTTTGTACAAACCAAACTATCTGAAGACACTGTCCTGGCCCTGGCAAAGGCCACACTGTGAAAAAAT